TCACTAAGGGGAGAAGAAAAAAAATCAGTAGAAAAGAAAAATATCTTATTGATTTGTCCTGCCAAAACCACTATATACATGAAATACTGAAAATGGAGCAGGTCTGTAACTAGTATCAAAGTTTATTTGGTTCAAAAACACAGAACACTAGCAATGTGCTTTAAATTAAGTACACATTTAAAGGTTAACAGGACTATTCCTTAGGCAGAAGAACAAAGAGGAGCTGGTTAAAGAAAATTTGGTACACCACAGCTACTTAAAATACTGTATCCAGGCACAAGTTATTTGGATGCCTTTGAGCTCAAAGCTTACTTGAATTATACAGAGGTGTTTTGTTTAGAGAACAAAAATACTAACCTGCATTTTATCTAAGCTCTTTCAGCTGAATTGAGCTACTAATTAAAAATCTTTACTACTCTTCCTAATTTCTGATGTACTTTTTTAACAGAGTAATAAAGCCATCTAAAAAATGTGTCCTTCCTTGGAGAAGAGTGTTAACATCAGCATCTCTGAAATGCCTTGTCATCTCCTGGTTTTACTAAAGCATGTCTGTCATCTGCCTTGATTGTACCTCTTGTAGCCAGTCTGAACATCCTGTGCCATGCTGAATGCAATACTGATGCATGTGCCAATTGACAACACCAAGAAAATTCACAATCCAGGCAATGCTTACCTGTAACAGTACCTCTCAAATAATACATTAAACAGATGTGTACCTGATATTATAAATATAAAAATGACATAAAAATATATTGGGCTGGTCAGTATACATATTAAAAAACTATTCAAGTAGGTCAAATTGTGGATAACTTAAAACTTTAAAGACAGCAATTTTAATAAAACTGTCAATACAATTTTCTTTGTAAAAACATTTGACACTGATAATGCTGCTTATATTGAAAGAGAAACACAAGGTCTATATCTTTAGATCTTTTGTTGAACTGTGAGCGCAGCATCAATAACTGCTTCTCAGCTGTAAATGAAAATTGATTCCAGATCTAACCCATCGTTTTCTGTGTGTCTTTAATCCCAAATCACCCACAATGAGACGTGAGAATCAGCATTTTGTCTATGGGACAAAGCACGTGTCCCATGGCCAGCTCCAGAGTCTGCACTGGAGGCACTGTGGTGGTGTTCACATGTGTAGATGCTGTGGGTAAATGCAGCCCCTCCCTGCTGCAGGAGGTGACAGGAGTTTGCAGCTGGGGGGAGTCACTGTAACTGCCTCATGCTCTACTGCAGTGACCTACACGATCAAAGCTTTACAGGTCTCAAATCTGAAGGCACCTGCAATGAACGTCTCACTGGGCCTCCTGCAGGTTGCAGCCCAAAGAAATTCACTCAACAATTTCTGCATCAAGCCCACAGCTGCCAGAAGGCTAAAAGGAAAAGAACCTAAAAAGTTTCCATGCAATTTGCAGCGGTTTGGTGACGCCGTTGAGGCAGGATGGTATGAATGAACTCCAATTCAGAAATTCTTGAGAGTAGAACTCTGATTTATTTCAAATACATTGCTTTTTTATAGAGAGCATCATCCAGACCAATTCTATTGGCCCCAGAGTAAAAACATCTCACCCCATTGGTGTGCAGTGAATGATGCACAGTGGCAGAACCTATTATAAACAATGTGAACAGCAAGAGAGATAAAGAATTATTTACATTCTTTCCCAACTGTTTCCCAGGCTTCTGCCTGGTTAGAAACTCTCTGTTTTCTCTCTGACTCAACTGAGAATATCCACAGTTTGGCACTAGGAGTTGAATTTGCAGTCATCTCTCAGTTGCTGAAGCCACTTAAGCCTTCTGGGGTGAAATTAAAGTGTACAATCTCTTTCATAATTTTCTTGGTGATATGTTGCTAGGCCATCATCATGTGTGCCTTAACCAAAATAAACCTAACACATTAAGGAGAGTCCTCCAAATCTGGAGAATTTAGGAGCAATATCCAGTTATTCAAAATTCTGTTTGTAAAGGGAATGCCAAAGCTGGGCAGCATGATCAGTAACAACTTTGCTGATGCTATTTGTAGAATAAATACCTTCAATTGACTTCAACCTGGTAGTTCCTATCCTATCCAGAAATGAAGCTCAACTTCTCAGTTACATGACTGACTATTGTGTGGTTGTGCTCCTTCTCTGCAGTGGGGAGAAAAGGCAGGGGATCTGTAACACCTGAAGCAGTCCAAGGCCCACAGACCCCTGAGTAAATGCAATACAGATCATAAATAAGGGTGCTCATTCATAGGAGTGAGGGAGCAAAACAGAAGAGCTTTGTTTCTTGTTTCTAACAATTTTCCACCTTGACAAATGGACTACTGCTAGTCTCAGAACATGGGCTGATAGATCAAACTCTCCCCACGTTCTACAGACTTTCACTAAAAGTTGTTTTCCAAGTACAGTTATGGATCAGTGTCACTACTGTCCTGTAAAAATTGAAGGGTCCATAGGAATTCTCAAAGGAGAAATCCTAGGGCTCCCTGATGACAACTGTTCCAAAGAATTTTGATTTCCTTAAAATTAGAGTAGAAATAAAGGAAACAAACTTGATTTTTACATACTCTGTTGGGGTTTTTTGAATAAAAGTGAGTAAATGCCAGCTCATGCTTCACACTGGCTGCAGGCTTATAGCAGAAAAAAATCATAAAGACTGTAAAGAAAATGATTCCATTTCCTTACAGAAATGCTGCATAAACTTCTAGAATGGTTCTGAACTAAGAGTTTTAATCTTTTCTCTCCCTGCCAGAATGAGCACATGTGTACACCTGAATAACAATGGTCATTTGACTGCAAAATATTTATGTTGAAAAAGCCCTTGAAGTTACTTTTTTGTTGTTTATGTGTCTGACCAGTGGGCCAGATGAACCTTTTTTCCAATTTCCAATCCCCTCTCCTTAAATAGATGTGGCAGAGGCTGCTAAAGTGTAATGAATGAGAGATGCAGCAGAGTCCTGCTGCTCAGCATTGCAAGGCCTTAGCCTGACAAAAATATAAAGGCAGACACTTATTAATTCAGGAAACTTCAAAAGCTGTGAGCTGTATAATTTTGTCTATACTCTGTAAAACAAATAGAAGAGATGCAACCATACATATGTGGGGTACACAGGAAAGTGCAGGGCATGTAAGAAATGTGCAGTTGTGTCCAGTTACTTTACCTGGAACCCCTAAGGATACAGGTCAGTTAATAGATGACACCAAACTGGGCAGTCAGCGGTGGGCTTGGTATTGCTCAGTTAAGAGTTGGACTTGATAATCTTAGAAGATACTTTCTAACTGAAATGACTGTATGAAAAAAAACCTCAAAAATTTTCTAAGCAGTACAAAAGTTTGAGAAACTACATGAATGGTCCCTATGGAGCTCTGTTGTTTGTCTGCAGCCTGTGCTGTGACTGTGTTGTGGGAAGACACGTGGAGCTTTGGAGCAGTCTGAGGCTTCCTGCAGCTCAGACACAACCCCACCACAGAAGGGCCCAGGCTGCAGCCCCTGGCCTGGCAGCAGGGACACTGCTCAGGATGCTGCCTTGGTGAGAGGAACATCCCACACCAACAGCACGGAGGGCTCCAGAGCTGCCAGGACCTCCCTGTGCACCGAGTTCCTTCCTGCTCAGGATTAACATCAGAGATGACATCTGCTGCATTTGATGTCAGCAAACACTGACCCAGGCTTTTGCTTCTCCATTCACCAGTGATAAGGGATTTCATCCTAGCAGTATAAACTGTGTGAATTCAGAACTCTGTAAATTCTACTTAAGTCACTAGAAAACTATTACTGTTGGAAAACAAGAGTAACTGCTACCTGACAATATATTTCCATTTCTGTATCTTAGGCATCTCAGGATCACAATGTCATTTTACAGGACCATTTGGGCAAATTTGCAAACCTGATTAGTCATCGTGTTTGCACCACACTACATTACACAAATACAGGATTTTGACCCTTTGGCTTCAGAAGACGCTGTGAGTCTTGCTAGTGCTAAAAAATACTGACATGTATTACTAAGGCATCAACTTTCACCAGAAGGTAAATCTTTCCTGGCATGACCCTAAAGGATGAATGAGGTAGGCTGAAGGAGAATATTTAGGTGGTTTAAAAATAAATAAGAAAGAACGATTGGCCTATAATTAACATTTCCCAGACTGAACAGATGATCTTATGCTGAATTATAGCACTGCCTTTCTCTCTACTGCAGATGTTTAAACAATTGAGCCTATTGCATATATAATATAAAATGAAGGATGAATTTAACACAAAGTTTCATTTTTTTCTGATAAGAATATTGAGAATATGAATTTCACCAGCTTTCTTTCCCAGCATTATGCATAAATATTTATAAAGTGGGAATGATAGAGAATGACATGAGCCACTTTTCTGAAAACGATTCTTCATTAATATCCCAAGTACATGGAGAAACTTTCAGTATTGATTTAGAACTACATGCTGAGGCCATTGCCTATCACAAATGGGAGTCACTGGATTACTGTGGACTCCCAACCCTTTACTCTGTGACTGCAACAAAAACTTACAGGCCAAATTTTCGTGCGTGAACTTGTATAAATGGATTGAAAAGTGCAAACAAACTCTGGTAGTTGTGTTCTTATGTGGTCCTCTTACACACACCTGCAAAAAGCTCATCAATTCAGAAAATGGGTGCAAAGCAAGAGGAGGCTGTTCCACAGTTAGTTTGGTAGAATGAAGGACAGAGATTCAGAACACACTGGCTGTTCCTGGGTGATGCTCCATGTGGTCTCTAATTCAAAGGTTAATAAGTCATATTGTGGTTTAGTTTAATCCACTTCACAAAGTTAACCAGCAAAACTGAAATACATTCCTGTTTGAGAGTGTTTCCTCTAATGAGAAGGAAGGAAACAAGGTTTAAGCTGATGGATTCTGCAACACACCAAAATGTTTTTCATGCAAAAATAGTAAGTTAACACACAAACAGATCCAACCAATGAATTAACATTCTCAGTTGAAATGATATATGCACTTATATTAGATGTATTTACCTGATCATTATCATCTTCATCACTGCTGAGTTTTAGATCATCCTCAAGCATTCTGAAAAAAAGAGGAACAATACAGAATTACATTTATCAATTAACTTCATATACAATGGGCCAAATCTACACCTCAGCAAAGTCAAAGGAAAAACTCTCTTTCCATACAACAACAGCAAAACCAGACCTGAGGCAAATAAAGTGATGAATACTCCATGTATGTATGTATTAGAAGCACTAATACTTTGTGATTCTAGGGAAGAACAAAAGACTTTCAGACTCGTCCATCATAAAGTTTGTCAGTCAGCTGCTCTTTCATGTCTTCTTTTATTTCCACATTGTCTTACAGGGATTAGTCCATATACACCTACATGTGTTTCTAAATCAGAAGATAAATTCAGCTCTGAGACTGCTAAAAACTGAGAAAAAGTCATCCATGTATCATTCTTAGTCTGGGGCACCACCGATTTCCTTTCTGGTACCAATCCCTACTTACCAAACTGAGAATGCAAAGTGGATAATAGCAAGAAGAGGAGGTGCTTGTTTGAGGTTTGATGGGAGGACAGCTTTTAGTGTCCAAAGGCAGACCAAACATTTTCCAAGCTGGGAACCTGCCAGTTCATACCCCCATTTTCTTTTCATTTATTTATATTTTAAAACAGAGAAACCTCACAGGCCTGTGCCCTGCCCTTGGTTAAGGGGAAGGAAGCTCCTAAAAGATGTGGCTGTCCCTATGCATCCTTCCCTTCCTTTGTCAAGAGTTGAATTACCAATTACTGTATTAACTCTCATATGACTTATTTCAGTCCAAGACTTGGATACAGAAAATACACGAAGTAAGAAACCAGGTTATTTGCTGCTACAGAGAAAGAAGAGGTCTCTCAGTTGGGGATCTCTACCTAGAGAGACGAGCAGTCACCAAGTAAGCTCCTGTATAGCTTCCCATATATTCATACTTTTATCTGAGCTGATAATCATCTGGGCACACTTCTACCTCACACCCAACTTTTCACCTTGACAAATTCTATCACAGGATGATGTACGAATGAATTGGCACATCTCCCCCTGACCTGCTGCAGCAGCCACTAAAATCACAGATATTCCTTTCTGCCAGCCCCAGCTCCTTTACCCACGGCAGGAGGCTTGCAAATTGCAATTATTGTTTCCTTTCTAACTTGATGGGGACTGAAGTATATGATTTTTTACTGTTAGCCTTTAAATAACTCTAGCAATCAATCGATGTTCTGTTAGGAAGGGTTTTTTTTTGTTTGAAGACTACCAGTAAATCATGGAAGCCTCCTGACACATGGAATTTTAAAGAGGGGACAATAATCCCAATGTGGAAATTTTAGAACATTTGAAGCCCTGATGGTGCCCTTGTGAAGGAGATCTTTACACTGGTTTGTGAGTCATCTGTCTTCCAGCAACCTCTGTTGTCGGGCAACCCACTGGTTACAAATATCTGGACACAAAACTCCTGGTCATTAGCATCCTGATAAATGGCCTATGCCTCCCTGTACTATCTGAACCCACAAAAGTACCACAGCAGCATGGATTTAAAAAAAATCTTATAAAACTTAGTATTTGTTGGGGGTTGACCTTGTCTGGATGCCAGGTGCCCACCAAAGCTGCTCCATCTCTCCTCTCTTCATCTGGACAGGAGAGAGAAAATGTAACAGGAGGCTTGTGGGTCGAGAAAAGGACAGGGAGAGATCACTCAGCAAATACTGTCATGGGCAAAACAGACTCAGTTTGGGGAAATCAATTCAAAGTATTGCCAACTAAATCAGAGTAGGACAATGAGAAATAAAACTAAATGATAAAACACCTTCCCCCCCCACCCTTCCCTTCTTCCTGGGCTGGACTTCACTGACAATTTTCTCTGCCTCCCTGTTCACAGTGGTGCAGGGGGATGGGGAATGGGGGTTATGGTCGATTTATTGTACATTCTGCAGGTTCTTCCTCCTCAGGGGAAGGACTCTTCCCATGCTCCCCTTTCCATCCAGCATGGAGTCCCTCTGGCAGGAGCCAGCCCCTCATGAGCTTCCTGAGGGGCTTGGCCTTCCTCCAGGTTGCAGCTCTTCAGGAACCACTCCAGAGTGCCTCCCAGAGTGCCTTCCACGGGTACATCCTCCTGAGGCACAGGATGCTCCAGTGTGGGTACTCCATGGGGTCACAAGTGCTGGCAGCAATCCTGCTCCAGCCTGGGCCTCTCTCTCTACCAGAACACCAGCACAGTGCTCCCAGGGGGTCACAGGCTCCTTTGGGCACATCCCTGCTCCTCCCGGGCTGCAGCTGCATCCCTGCTGCCCAGGACCCCTGTGTGCTGCAGGGGCACAGCTGCCAGGGGCTGCAGGGGAACCTCTGCTCCGGCACCTGGAGCACCTCCTGCCCTCCTTCTGCACCGACCCGGCTGCAGGGCTGCTCCTCTCACTGACTCCTACTCCTCTCTTCAGCTGCTGCTGCACAGCAGTTTTTTCCCTCTCTAAAATCTGTTATGCCAGAGGCGGTGGCAGGTCCATCCTGGGGGTTGGCACCGGCTCTGCTGCAAGTGGGGGAAGCTTCCCACAGCCTCTCACAGAAGCCACCCCTGCAGCCCCCCTGCTGCCAAAACCTTGCCATTCAAACCCAATACTCAATTTTTCAGGGATTATTAATCTTTAGAGGCCTGGACTTTGGCAATGAACAGAAACTTTTAATGCTGTTTATCTAGCAGACACATTCATTTGTTTCCCCAGAGCCATTACTTGCTGTGCCATTCTCAATGTATCGCTGTGCCTTGATCTATCCACAGTCCCCGATTGTTATCTGCAAGTCTCATTACACCAGAAGGACAATACCCCCAGGAAACCGAGACCATTTTCATACAGGACTACATCATTCTGACTCTTAACTCTAATTCAATCCTACACTCCTGCTTTTAAACCTACATTTCACTTTAATGTGTAAATTATCCAATGCTTTAAAGAATCACTGCTAGATAATGCATTCTATTGTTATTTTTTAATGCAGATTTAAGTGGATATAATGCAAAGATCATTAATGAAACCCAAAGGGTGGTGTGTATTCTTTCTTTCAGCTATTGGGTGGTTTGGGGTTTAGTGGGTGTTTTTACTTTTTTTTTTTTTTTTTTCATTTGTTACGTGTTAAATTCCTTTTTGACATACCCTGGTAGAAATAAACCAAAAAGGACAAAAGAAATTCCATATTGGATAAATGGAAATAACAAAGAAGAAAACATAAAAAAGATAAATGGATACACTTACTAAACTAACCCTACAGCCATCTAAAATGGCTGATTAATAACTGTCCTCATACAGCCTACACTGCAGATACTTTCTAACAAGTACAGTAAGCACAAGACATGTTTATTGAATATTGAAAAATATAAAATTGATATAAAACATGATTAGTAGGAAGGACAACTGTTAGAGTTGGTTTCAGAGAAACTAAATTTGCAGGATTTATGAGTTCCCATGCAAGAGACTAAGAGATGTTTAGACAACTAGAGATAGGAAAAAAATTGGATTTTGGCATTTCTTTAGCACTTCCAAGCTTATCACTTGGGGTATATAATTCTTCTTAGCCTGTTCTGCTAAATGAAGAATATGTCATCCCATTCAGTTCCAAAACGCAAAGTCTAAACAACAAAAACTACCAGCTTCTAAAATGCATCACACTCTTTTGGCAGATGGAATAATTAAAGAGAAACTGAGTATAGCATCAACCAGAAATATATGGTAGCCAGAGAAGTGAGGAAATAAATTAGAAATACACAGTACATGCAAATGTAGAATGCTGAACATTTCAAATAACCTTCTCCCAGAGACTATTGGTTAGGAAAAGTGGTGTTTTACAGAACACAAAGGACTAGATGGTGTTGCACAATTTTAAAATGTGCTTAATATTCTGAAGACATGGGTCACAGTAGCTTGTACTGTTTAATGGTTCCATTAACTCTCATTTATAAGCAAGTACCATCTGATTGCACTCAAAGCTCAATAAGGACTTTTTAAGATTGCCAGCAACCTTAATTCAAGGTGACTATTTCACTATCATATCTAGAAAGGTATTTTAGCTTCAAAGCCTTGAGACAGAAGAGCTCTGTATCTACAGCTCTCCAAAACACTGTCTGGATGGTCTGAAGGTGAAATTAGGCACTCTTGAGTGAGAGGTCTATCTAAATACCCATATGATCTATTTTGTTCTATGTAATTGTTCACCTCAGAAGCACCCAGACTGGAGATTAAAGAGCATATTTGTTATTAAGATCAGGACAGCTATTAATAAAGGCCAATTTGGAGGCTATGTTAAAATTACAATGAATGCTGCCAATGAGGGCAAATCAAAGAGAAAACTGCCTGTATCAGAAAGCTACCTCCAGGGGTGTTATGAATTCATTTTATTTCCTATTCTTCTCTGACCCAGCTGACATTATTATTGAATATACATGTACTTGTTTGTCTTTTCATCCATAGCTAATGCAAAACACCACTTTAGGGAAAGAATGGGATTAAGTAGGATTTTTTATTTCATTATTAGAGCAATGCCATTTACTATAACAGTAGAAGTTGTGTCAGCACATTTATTATAATCTACAATTTTCAGAGGTTTGTAATTTGGAATGTGAAATTATTGCAAAGTAGAAATGTTGGGACAAAGCAACACATTTATCTGTGGTGTAAGTAGGGGCAATCTCATTGACTGACTACAATACCCACTTCCTCCAGGGATAAATTTGCTCCCAAAGCAGATTGTTCCTACATTACACATTTAGCTAGACAAATGGCTGAACAAGGGCTTTATTAGGGTGGTTCTCTAAAAGTCACACTAGAAATAGTAAGAACATGAACATTGAAATGAAACTTGTAGCCCATCCTGACTTTTGAGTTCAGTGGATGTTTTGTGCACACCAGACCTCCTGATTTGGGATCCTTTCATCCTTTCAACAAGCACGTGAGGATTTGGAGACATGAGATAATTCACTCCCTGAAAAAGCACTACCACAGTATTTCTCCATTTCAGTTACTTATACAGAAGACTCTAAACTTCTTAAAGGAA